ACTACGACTCCATCAACAACTATCACATTTGCAGGTATTGAACTAGATTCAGTGAAACAAGAAGCTAGATTACCACCCGAAAAAATTAAAAAATGTTTGGACGTCATAAAGCAAAACATGCATAAAAAGAAAATTACATTACGTGAATTACAATCCCTTATTGGTATTCTAAATTTTGCCTGCTACGTAATACCGGCAGGTAGGACTTTTCTACGTAGACTGATTGATTTAACAATTGGCATTACAAAACCACATTTTCGGATTAGATTCACACGCGAAGTTAGGGAGGATCTTACAATGTGGAATGAATTTTTGACCCATTTTAATGGCAGGGGCTTGTTCCATGACAATGATTGGAACAGTAACAATGTATTACATATGTTTACTGATGCATCGTTGATTGGATATGGAGCTATTATAGATAAAACGTGGTTTTACGGTAACTGGCCAGATGAAACTCGCAAAATGAATATAGCAATACTTGAAATGTATCCAATATTAGTGGCTTTTCTAATTTGGCAGGAAAAATTACAAAATCAAAATGTTATCATTCATACAGATAATGAAGCACTTGTATATATTTTAAACAAAGGCACTACAAAAGAGACCACTATATTGAAATTACTTCGTCAACTAACTCTGACATGTTTACAAAATAACATTTTATATAAATCTGTGCATATTTCGGGTATATACAACAATGCAGCTGACTCGCTATCTCGTCTTGATTTACAGGCTTTTCGAATGGCAGCTCCTATGGCCTTGAAAACGCCGTCACTAGTGCCCAGCATATGGCAACCGCTCAACTTACTACGGAATTGACAAATACTTTGGATTCGGCTCTCGCGAATAACACAAAGAAAACCTACTTAAAAATTGAACCGCTTCTGCGACAATTTTATGAGACGACCGGGATACAGGCGTTTCCCACGGATCCATTCGTCACAGCCTTATGGGTACAATTTTTAAGCAGAAAGTATTCTCCTTCGTCTATAAAAACATTTCTTGGGGCGCTTAGCTATAAATATAAAATGAATAACTTGCCAAATCCAACGTTAACTTACATAGTTAAACAAACCATTCTGGGTTTAAAAAACAAAACTCCAATTAAAGACAAAAAATTACCAATAACACTCCCGATATTACATACTTTATTAAAAAATGTAGACATTCTTTGTGGAAATAAATATGAAGCTCATTTATACAAAACGATGTTTCTGACGGCATTCTATGGATTATTCAGAATTGGTGAAATCACGGCAAAACCCTCGATACATACGCTAAAACAAGAAAATGTATCGTACGACGCGCCGAACAACATCATTAGGATAAAACTGGACTCATTTAAACATTTCGATGGGATTTCCAACAACGAAATAGCAATTCGACAACAACCGAATATATGTCCTGTAAAAACTTTGAAAACTTATATTCAATTACGACCAAGTTGTTTCAACCCACATTTTTTCATACATGAAAATGGTTCATCAGTTACAAGAAATCAATTTCATTCAATACTTGATAAATGCCTTGGTTTGTCCAAATTAGATCAAAAAAGATTTAGAGGTCATAGTTTTAGAATAGGTGGCACAACATTAGCAGCACAGAGGGGTCTTGCTGATCATCAGATAAAGTCCTTGGGTCGGTGGCGATCCTCGGCATATCAAGGATACATTCGATAAAGGACCAACCATTAATGAGAACAGAATTTATTGATTAAAATAATATGAGAAAAGAATAAAACTTAATGTACGTAGATATGTAAATCAGAATATTAACAAGATGACTTATGAATATAATATTAAATCTTATATAATGTAAATGAACAAAGTTAACAAAATATGAAAAATATTATGATTTATATATATATAAATAAAAAAATTTTGACATTAAAATAAAATATGAAGTTATCAATAATAATAATAATAATTTGTAAAAAATTATCACTAATTAACTTATTAATTAAAAAATTTTTGGGTGGGCGGGAAAACAAATATGTTTTCTTATGGCATTAATTTTATCGCCCACCTTTAACAATCAGGGCCCAGTTTCATCAAGGCTGGATAGTCTATCCTATGGATAACACTATCCAAGGTATAAATCTCTTATCCTCTGGATAGTTATCCTCTGTATAAAATTGTGTTTCACAAAGGCTGGATAAACAGCATGATAGTAATCCAGTGGATAAAAATTAATCCAATACCATATTTGGTAAAATACATTCCCATAATGCAGTTGGTTGCTATAAACATTATAATAGCCATGATAGTTGCTAACAAAAAAGTGATCTATACCATATTTGGAAAATAAATTACCCATAATAAACAATATTATCAGTATATTTCAAGATGGCACATTCATTAAAATAATGGGGAAATATCTACAGGATATTTTAGTGTCAGAGTCACAAACACATCACATTGCATTAGTTGTGCCTCATGCAATGTTTACAGTTTGCAGTTGAAGGGCAAGGTCGTGACATACTTTCTAACAAAATGGCTGACTTGGCACGTTTGTCAGATTCTGTCAATAGCAGTGTAGAATTTTTTCATCGATTTAAAAGGTATGTTTTAGTAAAATTAAAGATCATTGGTCTCTCACGGAGATTGCATGGGTTCTGTTCGTAGCAGGCGCCATGTCAAATTTGATAAAGTCTGTTATGTAATCTATTGATTCAGCATCACTCAAAGCATCAAAAGCAAACACACATCTTTTAAAATTCTCTTTCTAATTATTCTCCGCCTGTGAAATCTCACAGGATTTACTGCCAAACCAAACAGGTTAGCCTTTTTTGATGATTTAACAGCATGATAGCAGATTTATCCCACCTATTTCGAGCGGACAACTTTTTCCTCTGGATAAGCTGATTTTAACACTATCCACTGTTGATGAAAGGCACTATTCTCTGGATAGCTCTATCCAGAGGATAGCGGCCATTTTTATCCATAGGATAGCGCTATCCAGCCTTGATGAAACCGGGCCCAGATATTTATTTATAATTTTAATTAATTAATGTATTATTTTTTATTTATCAAAGGTATTTATGAAATACAAAATGTATCGAGTGACTCCCAATCGCCATAATAATAATGAATATATCATTTAAAAATTTTCTGATTGTTAAATGAACAAAATTTTTTATTTATTTATTATGTACAAGAGAATAAATTAAAGATTATCATGAAATTATAATCTTATTTATGAACTGTACATATACCGTCATGGGGGTCACTCGTACTATCTTGTGTGTCTATGGAGACGACGATGCATACATTATGTTCCGGCTGCTGCATCGGAAAAACACGAACATGAAGTCACGTGATATCAATAAACAAAGCACAGACGAAACATTTGCCGGTAAAGTATAAAAGGAGGGTGGACAAAGTGGACATAACAAAGGAAAGGTAAATCTGATATTAAACAGAAAGTCCAACAAGAAAAGGTAAGGTGACGTCTTCTATATATAATGCTTTCACATCCCTCCCACCCTCCCATGGCATGCATTAATTTTATCGCCCACCTTTAACAATCAGATATTTATTTATAATTTTAATTAATTAATGTATTATTTTTTATTTATCAAAGGTATTTATGAAATACAAAATGTATCGAGTGACTCCCAATCGCCATAATAATAATGAATATATCATTTAAAAATTTTCTGATTGTTAAATGAACAAAATTTTTTATTTATTTATTATGTACAAGAGAATAAAACATTTTTACAGAGGAAAGTGCAAAATTATTTCATGAGGTTATTAAAGTTATATGTCAATTACACCTGAGGTAGAATTACTCTTATCACTACACCAAATCGAAAATTAAGCCACTAACTTCCAAATACACTTCATACAAGTAATTGATTTAATTGGCCCAGCTCAACTGTGTACAAATATAGCCTTGACACTAATTGGGAATAATGCTAACCAGGTATAAAAGAGGTAGGTGACAGCCGATAAAATCTAGAGAGCACCGTAACTGATAACAAATTACACCCAAGGCAATAGGTGAGTCTTCATTATAAAAGTCAAAACCCTGCCTGGGTATTTCCACACGTTTTAACAAATTAACACACTCTCCACCCACACTTTTTGGGCACTACTTTAAATATAGACGTGCGCCCCAAACGTACACACCTAGGTCTTTGGTGTTCTACTGTTTTTTCTTTTATGGTAAAATCTGCACAGTTAGCTCTTCATTCTTTGCTATAAAATAAATTAGTTTTATCCTTTACTTTTCCGAAGAGTCTTCATTCAAAGCCACCTCGCCGTCTCTCCTCCGTTTATGGTTTTAGTTCCTTCACCATGGATTTTTACCACTGCAGGCAGTCTGTGAACGCTTGTAAAGTTAGTTGCCTTCTCTCGATCAAATACCCTGCAGTAATTCATCATTTTGCTCAGTTTAATATGAAAGAAAATACAGAAAACGAAACCTGAACTACAGACATGGCTTGTTCATGCGCAGCAGACGATTCCGGTCTCCCTCCAGTATGGCTGCCGTTTGTTTTGATGACGCAGGCTCTAATGGGTCAATAAGCCCCACTTATTACAGTTTCAAATAGAGGGATTACTCAGACATTCGTTGCACATCCTGATAATGATATTTGCTCAGATGCTTTCTGATTTCCTTTAAAAAATATCTCTTCAAAGATATATTTAAAGATCACTGGGAGAATGTACCGGTACATGACAAATACTATACATGTACTAGTACATTCGGCAATGTTGAGAAGATCCGATTACAAGTAAAAATTATCATAAGCATACTCATATTTTTGTTTAAATTGCTCCAAATATGTTTGTTTATATGCTCAGTTCATGCAGTTGCCTTTTGTCATCTTTTTGGTTTTCATACAAAAGATAGTTTTTGATAAGATGTTTAAATCGTTTCTTATTTGATATTATAAAATTAGGAGCGAAAAACTTGTCGGTAAAAGGAGAGGCCATTTTTATGACTTTTAGCTCAAGATAATTGCCATCAAACCAGCGTCCCTCTCTCACTAAGGTACGAAGGAAGTCTAATTTCTGCTTTTTCGGATCATCACCAAAACGCTCTCCATCCCCACTCAAGGCGGATGTCAGCTTCGTTTTGATGCCATTTATATCGAAGCACCATGAGCAATGCCATCCGGCAAATTTACCCTGTTCCCCGAGTTGCCATGCCAATACATCGTTTCCTCCTTTCTTGTACTCTCTTATCTTTCCCCATTTAACTTCGCCTAATCCTTTTCGCAGGGTACCAGGCTGGTTGTCATAAACTTGGCGGAGCATGCCTACCGAACACCCTGCGGACTGCACTGTCCAAACACGTTCCATTTTCCAGAAATATCCATACACAGACCACCTCAGAACAAAGCCAAATGGCTCAGGGTACCCGTCATGGAATTTGAGAAAGGCTATTGCATCACGGGATGGTATCTCATCGGCGTCAAGATGAAGAAACAGATCGTCTGGTCGTAGTCCTGCAATGCTCGGGAATCCCTTGCTGATATAGTTTCTTGCATATCGCTCCATTTTAAATCCGTTCGTTTTACCGTCTGCCAAAAAGTGGTCTAAATAAATATAGATGATATTGGAGTAAAAATCGCACAAATATCCAGAATGTAGTTTTTGGTATAACAAAGGTAATTTGGGTTCCCCGTGAAGCGTGAAATTCGACTCTTCTATCATCACTATGTCGACCAACCCTGTTAGCTCACGCACAAGTGCTTCCAGAGTGTCAAATTCGTGATTCAGGAGCATTGACATAACGACCTTTCTTGGATTTTTGCGAATTTTTATTTTTTTCTGAATTTCTTGTGGGAGTTTTGAAATGCCTACCCTTGCAACTTCTGGTATGCTGCAGGCGTTTCCAGTCCACCCTTTCTCACAAACACACCCATTCTTTTCCTTACGCCTCAGAGTACCAAATTTGAAACATCGAGTTCCGATATATGAGACGAAATATTGACCTCCTCCCACATCAGTTTTGTCCAGCTGAACTGGAGCAATAGTGTACAGATCTGGAAAACGCCTGATTGCCTTTGTTTTGCATGTAGCCACAGAACTTTTAGCAGTTCTCGTCAGTTTTTGTTCATTAAGGCATATAGTGTACAGATCTGGAAAAAGCCTGATTGCCTTTGTTTTGCATGTAGCCACAGACCTTTTAGCAGTTCTCGTCAGTTTTTGTTCATTAAGGCGCCCAGTGCTTAAACCATCATTCTTACCAATTTTGACGTTACTTTCGTCGTCCATGAAAAGGACATACAGGAGGAAACACAGTTGAAAAGCCATCACAAGTATAAAAAATGAGCGTCTGAAAATCCAAACCCGGGGTATTATGTTCCGAAACATGTTTTTTAACCATTCAGCTAACTTCTAACTTCTTTCCTTGGAGAGCTCCACTATCGGCTTCAGTCCGAAATAATGTTCAAAAAATGTTATCAGAATGATATAAGAATTCTTTGGTCACACTGACTAATCCTCATGCTCTCTGTAGAAAGGCGCCGGAACTGAGACTGTACCGAAGATGATGCGCAGTTTATCATGCATACCTAAAAGAATATTTCTATATAAATATAAGGCATACAAATGTTGGATTCTTTACGGTGGAGATGATGCAACAATAAATATCCATTGTATTTCATGGTTACCGACCGATCATAGATAAAGCCCTTGTTACACAGGACTTGCAACTCTGTTCCATTCTCTCATATATATAACTAGAGATAATGCTGTAATATTTACAGTTCTTTAAGACTGATGTATTAATTTGATGTTGACTATCAAATTTTGTTGACGGGGGATAAGAGAGGGTAAAATTCGGTCTCAGATCGGTCGTAGGCCCAGCGTAACAGGGAGTAAACATCTTTACATTCAAATGAAAACACCAATTGACACCGTGAGTTTTATTGCCTAGATGTTATTTTATGTAGCTATTGCGCCCGTATGGCTTTTGTTGTATTAAGGCCACACTTTTTTTATTTTTATGGATGACATCCTCTGGGGACCCCAGAATCGGTGCGAGCGGGCGAAAAAAAAAAACAGTCCAAAAAAATTGCTTAAGAAAAGTTATGTTTTCAGTACACAGCTGGAAACACTAATTTACCACAGAAACACGTATCAAACTAACAACATGTCTTTATCCATGCTCTCAAAATATTAAAGCATTGTGAATAGGGCCCACTTCGTAGAAAGGTATAAAGTCATGTATATGTATGCTGCATATTACCAAAACTATTTAAGGTTATTTCATGCATTCTGTTGGTATAGCAATCAATAAAACAAATATCAAATAAACAGCGTGTCTTTATTTGTACTCTCAGAAAATTAAAGCATTGTGAACTCTTCACAGAATTGTTAAAAAAATGAAGCAAAGATAGGCCTATGCTTCCTACTACTACTACTACCACGTGGTGATAATACGCATGCGCTGAAAGCTCATTTTCCGCACTCGGAACTACTCGGACGTCTCCGCAGTCGACAATGACAATATGCAGCTTGCGGAATTAGCCGAGGATTGCCGGTTGCATTTTCCGGCGTTTGCGACAACCGACTTC